CTATCACGAAATTATTTGAATAAACCACATCGCATATATGGGGGGCGAATGTCCTAAAGAGGGGCGATATTCCTAGGGTATTCGCCCCACCCCCCTGGGAGGCGATATTCCTAGGATATTCGCCCCCGGGGGCGATATTCCTAGGAATATCGCCACGTTTTGAGGGGGGAGGGGCGAATTTCCTGGGAGGGGCGACCTTTTTAAAAATTCTATCTTGCCCCCCCCAAATTTGAGTTTGCCCCTCAAATGCCCCCCCCAAATTTGGAAGCCTGGCGCCGCCACTGGTTTTATGGTTCTCAAACAGAGAAACAAATGTTCTCCCAAACCAATGTTAGTCGAAATTAAGGTTTTGTAAACGGTCTTCCTTTGCAATAGGCCATGAGAAAAATCTCCTTGAACTTCGGCTCATTTCTCATATGTGCAACGGGGATTGTTAGAGTCTTTGCACATGCTCCGACAAGTGGGAAACAAATCGAGTGTTTAGGATTTCGTACCAGGCAGTCATGGTCAAAAAAGACTGCTATATTTGGTTTCTTTCCATTTATAGGTACGTGTTGCGTTCCAATTAACCAACCCATCACACCTGGAATATTTACGATGGGAGTGGAAAATTCTACTCGCATTTCTTTGTCATCTCCACCGTTGTTTGATTGAATACCATCAGGGCTCACTTTGTGATCCCATGCTACTGCATAACTATGTCCTTCAATGTTTTCGTCTTCAAATGAAATTAAAGTATCTTGTAAATAATCCATAATGTTTTCTTCTGTGCATCTTCTTGTTGATCCAACTTCAGAATAATTAGGGACCATTAATGAGAAAAGGTAGTCAGCACTAGGTCTCAAGCCATTCTTCAGCTCTCCATTCACAAATAACGGCTCACAAACAGATGGATTATCTTTCATTATTTTGTCAAGCCCATATGACTCAGCACCAATGATAAACTCATTCATGTAAAGACATCTGCGTGAAACAAAACTCACCTTCAGGGAGCGAATAATCTCGTCAACATGCTCATTGGATATCGTACCCGTGTAACCATGATCGATGATCAGATCAGTATATTTCTTACAATCTGAGCGCACTTTTTCCAGCAAGCTAATTTCTCTAGCGGTCAGATGTTCGTCAGAGATATCCATCATATCCACGTTGGCAAACATTGCTTCATACGCGCACTTCTCAAGAAAGCAAGGAGGGGGACCACCCTGCGCCAGGGACACAGGGACTAGTTGGCCACATGCTCGAAAATCGCCATTTTGCACATACAAAGACGAATCGATAGGGGAACCATCAGGAAACATCACTTTCCCCATCTCTTGTATGCAATCCTCCAAAAATTCCAGTGCTAATGCGCCCGAGTCGATGCCATCTTCACCACTATAGTGAACCTTTAACTCGTGCAAAGGATCCGACTTCAGAGCTTGCCTTTTCCACAAACTAAGTACTCGAGAAAACGGAGCATGTCGTCTCATGGTAAGAAAGAGTTGGTCATCATGTTTAACTTTAGACCTCAGTAAATTCACCACATCTTTATAATCATCAATACCACTGTCAGAAATAACATCAAATATTGCATCTTGAGGCAAGTTACAAGAGATTTCATTTGATTCCGTCTGTTCGTTGGAGGACGACGTTTCTTTTTGGCTTTCGGTTTCTGCTTTATCTACTGCATCTATAAAATCGTCAATTTGGAACATCTCTTCTGGAGGCAAGTCTCCGTTGAACAACAGGTTTAAGTTGAAGTTGTCATCGCTCTTCTCGTCATCAGTTTCCTCATCTTTCTCCAGGTCTTCGCTTTGTTCGAGGTCTTTCTTTAGACAGAGATAAAATATGATGCGCTTATAATCTCTTCCTACCTCCGTCCTATATTTTTCCAAGCAGAAAAATTCGGCATGTTGCCCTAAAATGAGAAAATAAAAAAGCAATTAAATTCAAAGAATAACCAAAAACTGCAATATTACATCGTTTTACATATTAAATTTAAGGAGGTTGTAAAAATAAATAAGTGCTGTGGAAAGTTTCTAACAGAACTTACCATAACATTTAAAGAGGCTGTCAAGTCCATCCTGCTCATGCGCATGTTTTGTTTTACATTTTTTGTTTCAAACAATAGATAATTTAATTAAAATTCCGATCTGTGGGCCCACAAACTTTCCACAGCACTTATTTATTGGAGGGATCTTGTAGGAGCTTTTTGGATATAGGGGGCTCAATAGAGGGGAGAACTTACTCCAAAATGCAAAATATTCTTCATATATGCCTGTTGTAATGGCTATTATTAGGTCTCAAGACACTTTATGGTTAGGATTAGGGTATGGCTTGGGGACAGGCTTACACGAAGTATAGGCAATAGGCATACAAGTGGTAAACATTATAGTAAACAAGTACGATCGTACTAAAGGACCACCGTGGTTTTAGAATTTAAACTTTTGCATTGTTTCAAACAGTTAATGTTGGTTAGGCGATGCATTTTTTAAAAATGTTAAAATGAATAAATTTTTTTTTTCTGAAAACAAAACTTCCCAAAAAATGTTCTGACAACAGTTTGAGAAAATGGAAGCAAAATACTTTTTCAGACCTTTTTCGACCTCAATTTTTCAGAAATTCCTTAATATTTAACACGTTCTGCAATTCCAGCATTCTGGGACCCCTCTGGCCAAGTTGGGCCCCTTTTTTACTTTTCTCTGGGGGCGTTAAACTCCCCAAACACACCCCAGTAGTTCCGGCCCTGCTTTGATGTAACTAATGCGTTTGTCCGCATACTATTATGGGCAAACAATTGATGCTTTTAAACATTTGTTCAGTGAAAATACGTAGGTGCATGAAGAATTGTTTCTTGGTTGCAATTGAGGTTTTAGCTTACTAATACCACGTCATTAACGGACCACCACAACAACAACAAAAACAAATACAACAGAAAATACACAGTAAACTAATTAACTGGAATATCCAGCCCAATAATATATTAAATCTAATCAGTACATATTTGTTTCTTTGTGGTGGGTGGGGAGGCAAAGAAGAAATACTGGATATAAATTTCTGACTTATTTAAGACAGAACTCAATAGAAATATTTCACTTTGTATTTACTTGATATATAAACATATCATTTAAAATTATGAAATGCATGTGTAGGTAGTGCTACTACGTGTAATAAGGTTGGAGATAACAATTAAGCACAGCTACTTTGAAGTTCAATTGTAGGATTAGATTAGTGGAATTGCATAAAAAGCCACATTAAAATTGCAAATTGTTTGTTGATGATCGTATTTCGCCCTCGAAAATAAAGCTGCTTTATAGTATTGCAGAAAAATATTCTGGTAACAGACAAGTTAAATAACAAGACAGGCGCGAGTACACATCATGACGTAATGGTTTAAATTAAAGCAATTCCAACAGATGGCATGCAGTGAAATGGACAAATAAATTCAATATTGAGATTAAACTATTCATTCTGCAATTTCAATTAAAGGTACCGTAATAGTATATAGTAAGGAAGTTGCCAGGCATAAACTGAGCACATCTGTCATCATCATAAAGTAGCACATATTCTTTAGACGCATCAAAGTTTTTGTCGTAAGCACTCCATTTTTGTAATGCCTGTTCTAGCAGCATAGCATAAGTACTTTGTTGTGAAACGGTGACTGGTAAGCGTTTACCACGAACTGTCTTAAACCCATTTGTGGACATCACCTTGATACCAGTGTTAACAGACACCTTTTTCTCGACTTTAGCGGTGTTCTTTTTTTTTGAACGAAAAGTACTGGCAGATTGCCTTTCAGTTGACTTAGTTTTCAAGTAGCTCTCAATAGACATCGCTTTTCGTTTTTGTCCAAGTTGTGGCCTGCCAAATGATTCTTGTTGTTGCACAACATTTGTACTTTCACCAGGTGGCCCAGCAGATGTTTGGTCAGCATTACACTTCCAACAGAACCTAACATCTTTTCTTAGTTTCGCAGAGCACATGCCACAGAATCTAATGACAACATACGAGTCACGTTTTAAGGGAAGTTAGCTACTATTTTTAGCCTTTTAAGGTTAGGAATAGGGAAAGGGTTAAGATTGGGGATAGGCAACCTCATACCCAGGATCTTTCTTTATCCTGGGTACAAGGTTGTACCAACTGACGCAGGGGCGTAGGAAGCGGGGGGGCACGGGGGGCACGTGCCCCCCCAAATTTTTTTAAAGGACTAAAAGTGCCCTTTTTTGTGATAAAAAGTGCCCTTTTTGTGTTGAAAAGTGCCCTTTTTTGTGAGGAAAAGTGCCCCTTTTGTAGAAGCTAATGTCGCTGTAAATACTAAATTAAAACAATAGGTGCCGTTTTTGTGTAGAAATTTACAATTTTTTTTTAAAAATTAGGTTACAAACATAAATTTCGGTATGATACGACGGAAAATTTTCCTCAGGAGAAATTTCTCCCCCCCCCCTGCTTCCTACGCCCCTGAACTGACGTCAATTTCCAGAATTTGGAAGGTAAATTCTGATTGGTTGACGTAGCAGAATTCATTCTGGCGCTCGGGTCAGCAGACGTTACTTTTTTGTTGTTTTGCGTAAGAATAACAACGTCTACGAGCAAGCTAGTTACAGAGAGGAAATATGAGAAATTATTATATACACAAGGTCTGAATAAACCTGAGTATCAGGCTCTATTTTACAAATAATAGCCTGACACATTAGACAAACCTTAATCCGATCGCTTTCCACCCACAGCAAAGTTTATATTTAGTATCCAATCAGTTGAATCAAAATGTCGCAGGAGAAATTTAAATATTTTCACAAAACAACAACAACAATTAAATTATATTTGTGATTACTATAAAATATATCAACAACAATAGTATAATCTAATTAGCACCAACCAATCAAATGACAGATTAAAAAATCTTTTGTTTCATAGACCAATCAGATTTACACCCCAAATACGATTGTACAACATGAACTTTTGTTAAGGTTTGTATCAGGCCTTTTATTTATTTATTTATAGGCCTTTTATTTATTTATAGGCCTGATCGCACGTTAGGTATGAGCTATTCTGCATTTCTGCAATTTCTGTTTTCTAGAGAAAAACAAAATGGCGACTGAAACTGAATTTCCGACGTTTTGCGAATGAGAAAACGGCAAGTTGTTCGCTTTTTATAGCCCTTACAGGATTAAAAACACAATGAAAACCTCCCATAAATTGTTACAGGTTAGCAAATGAATTTTTTATTCAATTTAAAATGGTTAAAAATATATATATGTGGAAAAATAATCGACCGAAAGAGCGAAGATAAAAACATAAACAAAATAAGAAAAATATTGAAAATAACGGAAAAGCAAAGTCTGTGAATTCAGACCTTGTGCACATAATAAAACAGTTATATTAAATATTCAGTCGTTTCAAGTTATTCCCGCGTCTAGGCCCTCCCCGATTGTGCTCGTAAAATCCTAAAAAGTTGCCACCTAAAATGCGAAAAGTTGCTGCCTAAAATGCGAAAAGTTGCTAAAAAGATGCCAAAAATCCAAAAAGTTGCTACTTGAACATCAAAAGTTGCGCCTGCTCGTTACCTAAAGTTCACGACATTTTCACACATATTTCACCAAAAAAACTGTAAAAAGCTTTTAATAAATCGTTCGCAAACATATCGGCGTATTTTTACAAAACTATTATTAACAAATAACATTGAAACAAAACTTATAATGGTTCATTTGACTTCAACTTGGTGGAAGGTAGATTTGTAGATTAGTCGATCACCTATTCACCTATATTTGCATCGAGTAATGCCGACCTAAATGCGGTTTATATATATCCAATGTCACGGCCAACACAAAATCAAGACTGTTACACAGTCACGACCTCTTTGTATTATTGTATTGAAGCATAACAGAAGCTTCGAGGTAATCTTCAAGGGCACTATCTTGCTGCGAGGAAAATGCATTGGACAGGAGACTGAAAGCCCTTTCTGCAGATGCTGAACTTGGCTGGATCAACAGCAGTGTTTTGACTAGCGAAGACCAGTGCGGGAGGACATCTTTGTGAGCTGCCCACCATGTCAACTTGTCATTCTCACAAGTGACTGTGACCCCATCAGCTGCAGCAAGATACAAAGGAAGCTCTTGTGCCAGATTTGCTATTGTGGTGTCGTCATCGATGAAGGGAAAACTTCTGAACTCTTCGAGTGATGCAGCTGTCGGATTCAGGCTTTGCACTTGTACAGGGCAGCAAAGACGTGCAGCTTTGAATGCTCGCACAGTTCCATAAAATTGGCCACTGAACTTCTGCTGATAAAATTGGAGGCCTGGCTGGATACAAGCTTTCGCCCGTGCAATTAACTGGTTGCATAGCGCAGCATTGCCACCAGCACTTTCACGAGCAACAGCCAAGGTGTTAGGGTAATTGTCGACAGCTACAGCCCGGGAAACAGCCGAAAGCTTCTCATAGCAGGTGAAAATGAGTGGCCCATCTCCTTCCAAGTAGTAGGTTGCTTTAATAAAATGAACCCCTGCATCAACGAGTGCAGCCAGCTCCATGCGTAACTCTTGCAAGCTTTGGGGATCGTCAAATATCTCCAGCAGATGTTGGCGATTAGCAGGACAGATTTCCTCATTCTCGCGAAGAAATGGCTCAACATAACCAAAATAGTCGACCACTTGGTTAAGCACTTCCCATTTGCTCCACCAACGTGTGTCGCTGAACTTGCGAATGGACTTGCCCGTTCTCTCTCTCCAAATAAGGCATGCATTGAAGCTATGGGAAAACATGCCTATCCAATAGTGCGAGAATAGGTCCAGGATTTGAAACTGAAAATGGCTGCCGACATTGTCAATAGTGTGGGAGAAGCACACAACATCAAAGAGTTTTTGATAAAAAAACATCAGCTGTCTCAAGGCAGCTCCATTAACAGATGCGCCATCTCTTACAGCTCCAATGACTGTACTCGGACCAAGCTTATAATCCACAGCCAGGCAAGACATTAGTCGCTGAGCCAATTCTTCTCCTTTCAGTGACTTTGCAAGAATTTCCAGGCGTATGAGCCGCTGAGTAGGTATAAAGTTTTCCTGGACAAAGCGGATTATGATAACCAGAGCTTCACCCAATCTGGCTGTACCATCGAAAATTACACAAGCCTCTTTCACATCTTTGAGTTCTTCCTGCAGCTTGTCCTTCTCTTTTTCTAGTACTGCTGGAATAAGCTCGCCCAAATGGCCGCTGCTGGTTAACCGATGGCCATGCTTCTCTAGTAACGGTCGAAGGGCATCGATTTTCCCTATTGGTATACCACCATTGAGACAAGATTCAACAACTCCAAAACGAAACAATCGCATTTCCGCAGGCAAGGTTGAGCCAGGTGTACTTTCTCTCTTATCTCTCTTTTGCAGACATGCCATTATTGTCTGGTTTTGTGATTTGCTCTTTGCAATATCAGACAATCCCTTCTTGTGCTTTTTTGACTCAATATGTTTTTTGACTGAACTTTTCTTCAAAGAGAGTTCTTCATTACAAGCGTTACACCGCAATTTCCGGTCGATTACAGTAAAATGATGGTTGGGGAAATCCTTCAAACGATCCCAGGCAGTTGTATTGGCAATAGTTTTATTCCCCCTTTGATTGTACTTTCCTTGGTTGGTAGGAAGTTTTCTCTTACGTGCAATGTTAGCTTTTGCTGGAACACTAAGACTTGCACCAGCATTTCTTGCTGTCAAAATTGGATCTTGTACTTGTACCTGCACATCTTCGTTGTCTGAATCTGATGAGTCAAAGGATTCGTCTCGGTCTGATAGGTTTTGTGTTTCGGCCATGCTTCAAATTAGCAATTTTAATTTAAAAATGAAGACGCCATTTTGTTTCTAGTGCTGAACACTTACACAGGAAACCCTAGTAAATAATACAATTACAAAGTAAAGGCTGACGCCTGTCAGTGACAGGTAGTTTGCTGTTTGACCTTAAAACTACCTGTCAGTGACAGGTAGTTTGATCAAAACGCTATACTGCGATATTAAAACATTACACTGTAATAAATTATCATCAGAAAATGTTTTTTATATTATCATTTATCAAATCTTTTAATTTTTTGGCTAAAATGATTGATGATTTATACAGTAAACCTGCAATTTGCAAAAAAGTTGCTCTGAAACGCAAATGTTGCTTGAGGTTACTATAACCGAAAAAAGTTACTCCAAACGCCAAAAGTTGCTAAAAAGTTGCCGAGCACAATCGGGGAGGGCCTACCCGCGTCCCCCGGGTCGCGCTTTTTTAAATGCTCCGCCTTTTGCCCCCTCCCCTCTTTCCTGCATTATTGTCAGATGGGACATTGTACATACTTACATTGTTTCACTGTCTTCCATTATTTTAGAATTTAGGAGACGAAACGTTATTAAATTTTGACAATCTTTCACCACAAAAGTTCCACAACAACAACCAAAGAAACAATTGCGATTTCCACTTTAACCATTAAAAAATTCATCGACGTTATCTAAATTTCATTTTCCATCAAATCTCTTCTTTGAAATTCATCCCAAATTTATATATTTATATTTTTATCGCCAACACCCTTGTCACAGTAAACGACGTAATAGTAAAAAATATCATTGCATGTGCATGGAGTGACAAACTGACAGTATTGACATATCTCAGTTTCAGATTTCGGAAAAATTTTCATTTGAAAATAATCTTACTTGAAATGGATATCCTCTCCAAAGTGGAAACATTGCGTGAGTGACTTTTGCCGTGAGTTTTTATTTTGCCGTGAGTTTTTATTTTGCCGTGAGTGTTTATTTTGCCGTGAGTTTCTATTTTGCCGTGAGTTTTTATTTTGCCGTGAGTTTTTATTTTGCCGTGAGTTTTTATTTTGCCGTGAGTTTTTATTTTGCCGTGAGTTTTTATTTTGCCGTGAGTTTTTATTTTGCCATGAGTTTTTAGTTTGCCGTGAGTTTTTAGTTTGCCGTGACTTTTTATTTTGCCGTGACTTTTTATTTTGCTATCAACATTAAATTGTTGTTGCAGTAAATATAAAGATTATCCGTTCAATAAATTTTGTTTTGCAGTCAATTTGAACTTTATGTTAACGTAATTTTAAAAACATTTGCCGTGATACTTGTGGGCCACCGTATTATTGCCCTTGATTGCCAAAATCTACCATGTTTACACCAAGGAAAAGGATGTACTCTAGACTTACCTGTGGCCACATACTGGATCTGACACTTATATATAAATTTGACAATATATATAAGGTATGGTTGCACGTTGCAATTTGTTGGGCTGATTTCAGATGCATGTTAACAATCAATGATGTTTAAAAAGATGGGGCAAACGTCAAATGTTTGACAACATTCAGCAAAACCTAAAATCATCCCGACAAAGTGTGGTGTACAAGCATACATGTATACAATACAGACAAAACATATACACACAAAAATACACACACATACCATATACACACACATAATATACATGATTTAACGATGTTGTCATGGAAATTGGTCTTGCATGGGATTAAACAATCCAAACATGTTTAAACAACAGGGTGGGCCACCCCAAATGATTTACCTGAAATCACTGTCAGGTCACTCTAAGGTAGGTCCCAGTAAACTGCTTGGACAAGTGTAGGTTTGTAGTGAAAACACAACAAGACATATCCCAGTTGTTTCTCTGCTTGCTCCTAAATCCTCATGAATATGTATATGGTCTTTGGTTCAGCCACGTTAGAAAGGGCATATGTTTTACACAACTTGGCAAAATGAGATATAACAACTCATAAACATGCTATGTAAACAACAACCCGTGTAACATAAAGTCTTGAGAATTTTATCATTTATTTATTTTGCTCATTAACTTAAACTATTAGTATTTACATTCAAAAAAATCTAGAGCTATAGTAATATTTATTTATAGACCCACTCACACACAGCTGAACTTCTAACTGTCGGCAATATATTGCAGTAAAAAAGAAGATAGGCACATTGGCACAAATCGACAACTTAGCACATTAAGTTGTACTGGACCCTACTGGGGCTATGGTGGTTTGCTGATTGCACTACCGACTTTGGTGGCACTATAGTCAGATCAAGGGCCTTAGATCTCTGAGATTGTGGGTTCAATTCTCACCAATTAAATGACACTTATGTGAAAAGAGTTGGTCAACACTCTGCCGAAAGTTGTGGGTTTTCTCCAGGAACTCCAGTTCCTCCAGAATGAATGTTTACAGGGTGGCTTGCGACTAGCCTCTAACGCACCCCTCTATATGCCCTAGCTGTGCTGCCAGAGGCGCCACTACAGAGAAAATATACATTTCATGGGTTGCAAATTTAATATTTTACAATACTATATATCACATGTAGTTGAGGATCTTTTGGAATTCAAGAACATCAGTGGCAAATGTCAAACTGCACACAATACACTAGAAAAACAAAAATGTTCAAATCACTTTATGAAAAATTTAATATACATGTATCAAACAGTAGTCATAGTCGATTTATTGATTTAAAAAAAGCGTTTGACACAGTTGACCATACAATTTTATTACGTAAACTTCAACATTGTGGATTTAGAGGTATAATCCATGATTTTCATCATATCTGACAAACCGCTTTCAAACAACACAAACTGAATGTAATATTTCAACAAAGGAGAAAACACTTTGTGGAGTACCACAAGGATCAGTACTCGGTCCTTTGCTTTTTCTAATCTATATAAACGATATTCACCGTTCCTCAGATAAATTTAATTTTCATTTGTTTGCTGATGATACTAACTTGTTATATTCTGATAAAAATCCTAAAACTCTTGAACATATTGTAAATACTGAATTTGAAAAAGTTTACGATTGGTTACAAGCAAATAGATTAACAATGAATTTTAAGAAATCTAATTTTGTCATGTTCTATCCTTACCAAAAAAACCTTAATTACCAAATAAGTGTAAGAATATTTGACAAAAAAGTTGGAAAATATTTTTCACTTGAGCGGAAGGAGTATTTAAAATATCTAGGAGTTTTGCTTGATAAGCATTTAACTTGGAAACATCATATAGATTACGTAGCATCTAAAATAAGTAAAACAGTTGGAATTATTGCTAGGCTAAGGCATTTTGTTCCTTTCCAGGTTCTCACAAGTATTTACCGATCTCTTATACTTCCTTATCTATCATATGGTATCACTATCTGGGGAAATACTTCTCAAATATTTTTAAAAAAACTTCTGGTACTTCAAAAACGCGTTTTACGAATAATGCACTTCGCTAACAATCGAGATCACGCTGTTCCCTTTTTTAAAAATACAACTAATGTGCCAGTGAATATGTTATATTTTGAATCAGTTTCGAAGTTAATGTATGACGTCAACAATGATTTAGCACCAAAGAATATAACTGATCTCTTTACCCAAGTTGCTACTGTACACACCTATGGTACTAGAGCTTCAACTGCTGGTAACTATCAAATTAAGTACTCTCGTACAACTCTACAAAAAAATGCTTTTTCTAGAGTTGGTGCAAAAATATGGAACTCGCTTCCAAAATATATTCGTAATCTTAAGAGAAAAGAATTAGCTAAAGAGATGCACACATTACTCCCTAAAATTTGGAATAATGAGGACGACTACCTTGAAGTCCCAATGATTATACAGAGAATGTCTGTTTGATTTTATGTCTGATGAATTTTACTTTTGATTTTCTTTTTTTCATTAGTTTCTAAAGAGCTTTTGATTCTTTGAAAGCATTTCGTCAACAACATACATCTATACTGATTTACACATTTCATAAAATATACCCTAAGGTTTCGACTGTAGTTTCATTATCTTAATTTCAATCTCTATATATTCTATTCCTAATTATACCGAAATCTCATCTTGTTAAATATCAAATGTTGTTAAATAATTAAATATACTATCCGCACCTTCGATTAGCTTTCGCTATTTGTGGGAATAGTATTTTCTTCATTTATGTATTTTCTTTTTAATAAATTGATTGATTGATTGAAATAGTCGTCATAGTATTGATAGCACTACTGACTACAGTGCTGTGTACAGTGCTGTGTACAGTGCTGTGTATGAAAATTCTGACAATTCGGTGATTGTTGGCTGAAAATAAACTATTCAATGCTTCAAATGTTAAATAAAAAGGCCACTACAGGCCGCCACTACAGTGCAAATAAGTTAAATAAATCTCAGATTTGCATAAAGTGGTAAACAAAAACACCGGCAACACAACCACTCAACAGTGAACACAACACGCTCTCACAACGAACGAAAATAGCTCACGCATCCGTGACTTAAATAGCTGTTTAAACTTCACTAAAACATCTTTTAAGAATATCAACTTGATCACCTACCTTTGTCAAATAAGTACTGGTCATAAAAATGAGATCGGTCCCAAAATAACAAAGATATGTGTCTAACTCCGAGTTGCGCCATATTATAGCCATTCCGAAGTTGACGACAGGACTGGGGACGAGTATTAAAAAGTGCTCAAATTAAGAAATGAACCAAATCACTAAAAAGACCACCTCAAAATTAGTAAGTGTACAAAGTTTGAAGACGTTTATATGAATACCCTTCAAATAATGAGCTTTCGAAAATCACGATATTTACTACGAAATGTATTGTAATTTTTGTTTTGGGGGACGCGTGTCCCAAAAACAGTCTTTTAATAAGTAATTTCACAATTTTCGAAAGCTTATTATTCGAAGGGTATTCATGTAAACGTCTTCAGACTTTGTATACTTACTAATTTTGAGGTGGTCTTTTTAGTGAATTGGTTTATTTCTGAATTTGAGCACTTTTTAACACTCGTCCCCAGTCCACTCATAAACTTCAGAATGGCCAATTGTTTTGCCAGGAAAGGGTTTCTTTCAACATGGCGGCCAAGATGCGCAGAGCGACATGCGCGATTGCGCGGGTACAAAAATTTCAAAGGTTCCGACAGGAGTGACCCTTCTGCTCATTCTTACTTTGCGACACTACACTCTTAACGGCGTGTTGAAGAATGTAACACGATCAAGTACCTTCTTCCTTTACGGTTAATTATTCCCATTTGCCAATTTCCTCAAAAGCATATTGTGAAAAATATATTTACGGGGGGAGGGGATGTATTATAATTTACAACTTTTATATTTTTCGTCCATTTCCGACTAGTATATAGCATATTTCCCCCAAGATTGAGAGAATTTCTCCTATTGATTTTTATAAGCCAATATCGCCAGACTGACCTAGTCTGCTGAAGGACTAATACTGCCATATTAGGACCATTAATAAAACGCATAACGAATTTCTCGCGCATAAACTCAAAATGCGTTTTTAACCTTTTAAATTTCGCGCACAAGTTATTTTTAATGCCGCTACCCCCCCCCCCACCCCCCTGCGCTCTACTTTGTCTATAACGCATGTGTAATATGGATAATACTTAATTTAATGTATCTCTGTCCAACAGTCAAACAAATCAGTTCACGTATTACCCACGGTGGTATTACCTTCGTGTGGAAATTGGCAAAAAGTAGGGTAAAACGGTAGAGGATATTATACAACAGACACTTACCTGCAACAAACACATAAACAAAAGATTCAGTATATCCACCCTTTGACAAAATACTAAATATGTATGTCCCATTGTACTGGATAGTAACGTTATTTAAAATCAATGTTGCATTCTTTTTTATTGTAAATAGCCCGGGTGAGTATTCGGGCTGATCATCCACTTTTCCATCTTGAATGATTTGAGCAAAATAATTGTCGCCCTTTGGAAGGAATTTCCACGTTCGAACAGTTATGTCAGGTACACTGACATCAAGTTTCCACGCTATTGTCACATTTTCTCCTGGGAGAACAACAAAGGTGTCACCACGAGGCGGGAGGGAGATTTGACCTACACAATTTATAATCAATACAATTCTATTAAATAATGTATGTAACTATTAGTATAGGTAATCATGCGATGGCGAGTACAATTAGGGATTAACACTACGGGTGATGTTAATTTGGAAATTTTGCCAAAATTGGACGAGCCGCTGGGGCGAGTCCAATTTGGCAAATTTCCAAACATCACGAGTACTATTAATCTCTAATTGTACGAGCAACATTGCATGATTACTTGTTTATTATTAGCATGACAAAATTGGATGCTTCTCAATGTCAACATTATATTCTCTCGCCAAAGCCCAGTCCTGCCAAACTTTCAACCAAAATTTGGTGCTTTTGTTCGTATTTTCATCTGTTCATCTAGGGCAATTTCATTTCACAATTGTGTTTAAAATACCTTTCCGCCATTTTGTTTGTTTTGGAAAAATCATTAATTGTACTGCAGTACAATTAATGAAATAATTGTACTCCTCTCAACCAATCAGATCCAGTAATTTTGTCATGCTAATAATAAAGTATATTAAATTTCAAGAGGAACATCTTTCCATGCATAGGTACTTTTGGCATTGACATTACATTCTGGCCATTGGCCAGTAGGTTGTTCCTGAAATGATCGACACTCCCACCAAAAGACACAGAGAAAATTTAAGATGTCCCGAGAGGTATATATAGGGGGAAATCTATATCAAACAGCTGCGGTGTCAGGATATGCAACTACCTGAAAAATATAAGCAGAACTTCGGCCTTTCGAGCGAAGGCCCTTCATCGGGAAGTTAATAGTTGGCTACTAGCTTCCCAACATCGTTGAAAACGTCGAAATTGTGTTTATATTTTTCAGGTACTTGCATATATCCTTGACACCGCATCTCTACCCACATTGGCACCGAGAAAATCTACATCGTCTAATAAAAGCAAAATATACTAGGGTGCTTAGAATGGCTGATGGGGAGATTAATAGACCAATCCCCAATTAACCAAAAATTTGAACTCAACAAGTCTAGACAAAAATTTCATCACAGCTTGAAAGAGCATCACAAAATTAGAAATATTGCGAAGTTTCGTTGCAAAATGTTGTAAAATGCGGATAATATAACCTTGCGAAGTTTGCAATTTTCAGTCATTTTAGATTACAAACGAGAAATGGTTACCACTTCTGTGCGTAATACAAAATGACTGAAAATTACAAACTTCGCAAGGCTATATTATCCGCATTTTACAACATTTTGCAACGAAACTTTGCAATATTACTAATTTTGTGATGCTCTTTCAAGCTGTGACGAATTTTTGTTTAGGCTAATTAAGATCAAAATTTTGGAAAAGTGGTAACCAATTCCCAGGCTACATTATCCGCATTTTACAACAATTCGCAACGAAACTTTGGAATATTCTTTGGTATTCTCTTCGCCATTGCTTCGTAACTTGTTCCAACAAGTGCTTGTGGTGTCGAGGTCTTCGAGTAACGACCGATTAGTGCTTACGACTTCGGGGTGTGCTTACGACTTCGTGGTGCGAACTGTTTGGACTCGTGGTTATTCGAATGAGTCAAAGGTTCGTAGTTTGACTCTTCATCGTCGTAGACATACGTCAGAGGTCTCCCATTGATAATTGCTTCGATTTCGACTAAGATCGTGTGTAAATCGTCGCACGTTGGGGTTGAGCGACCAACGACACGTTTCAAAGGCCTCTTGACACTACGCACTAACCTTTCCCAGAGACCGCCCCACTAGGGGGCCACGTTCGACAATAAACTGCCGCATAAACGCGTCTATCAACCAGGTACGGACATACTTCTTGTAGTCAAATTATTTCCTCAATGTCCTAACTGGATGACTTGATGCAGGTCTGTAGTTGGTTGTGATTTAAAGGGACCACCTTCGAACTTGCGACAGACAGCGCAATGTCTGATATGATGATCTTCTTGATAGCTTCTCGCCCGCGTAAGATCCTGAATCGCACAATGTGTCCCGAACACCACTGTGCATTATTTGATGGCGGATTAAGAATTGGTAGAGAGAAGTTAAGAGTTTAAGCGGTTTGACATCTAGTGTCACATGGTTTCACCAGTTATTAACTGATGATAACCCTACCACAACCCATTTGGCCGAGTCATTTAACGAGTTCTTGGTTAATCTCACATCTCATTTTTCCCCACTCACACGTGATACCAGTTCCAACCAACTCGACATACCCCATCAGTTTCTCGTCAATCCTGGCATTGTCTCCGCATCCCTTCGCCAAATTAAGATAAATAAATCCACGGGTTCGGACAGCATTCCCAATAAGCTGCTTAAAATGTTCGCTACTGAATTTGCTCCTGTTCTGACTGACATATATAACTCATCCATGCAACAAGGAATTTTTCCTCAACAACTAAAACGTGCTGTCGTTATTACAATTCCGAAAGTGTCGCCTCCATCATCCCAGAGTTGTTAACGAGTCCTATGTTGCAAGTCCAAGTCAAGTCACAAGTCATTTCCTGCAAGTCCAAGTCAAGTCACAAGTCATTTGGTCCGAGTTCAAGTCAAGTCACAAGTCATTTTGTCTAAATCCAAGTCAAGTCAAGTCACAAGCTAGTCATTCCGAGTGGTAAGTCAATTCAAGTCAAGTCACAAGTCATTTTATCGCCACATGTGGGCCATGTTTTCCCACGCAAAACGGCAAAATATGTAAATATGGCGTCGTTATTTTATGTCAGAAATTTTACCACGAAATCGCG